GCTTGGAGACATACAATATTAAAGGTGACACAATCGATTTGACACTATCGATGGTTTGGTGTCTGGGACTGAACAGGTTATTTTCAGTTTGTTTGTATTCACAATAAACCTACAAGCGAGTATCCACTCCGACTACTACTGCTGCAAATACTACCATTACTACTGCTGCTTCCACTACTTTTATTACTACTGCTGCTGCTGCTGCTGCCCGGGTAACCTACTGAAAAACACACACACACATATGTTGACGCCATATCATGATTTGAGGGAAGAAAATGACACTTAAGTTCCAGCCCCAGTGGAACTAGTCCAACTGCTGCCTGTTGCATCACGTTTTCTGGAGGACCATTCAGCACTCTTGTATTCTGAGTAGTGGTTTTACATTGTAGCAGTGTCTCTAGGAGGTCACATTGTAGTAGTGTCTCGAGGAGGTTACATTGTAGCAGTGTCTCTAGGAGGTTACATTGTAGCAGTGTCTCCAGGAGTTTACATTGTAGTAGTGTCCCTAGGAGGTTACATTGTAACAGTGTATCTTGTTGATTACATTGTAGCAGTGTCTCCAGGAGGTTACATTGTAGCAGTGTCTCCAGGAGATTACATTGTAGCAGTGTCTCTAGGAGGTTACATTGTAACAGTGTATCTTGTTGATTACATTGTAGCAGTGTCTCCAGGAGGTTACATTGTAGCAGTGTATCTTGTTGATTACATTGTAGCAGTGTCTCCAGGAGGTTACACTGTAGCAGTGTCTCTAGGAGGTTACATTGTAGCAGTGTCTCCAGGAGGTTACATTGTAGCAGTGTATCTTGTTGATTACATTGTAGCAGTGTCTCCAGGAGGTTACACTGTAGCAGTGTCTCTAGGAGGTTACATTGTAGCAGTGTCTCCAGGAGTTGACATTGTAGCAGTGTCTCCAGGTGTTTACATTGTAGTAGTGTCTCCAGTAGGTTACATTGTAGCAGTGTGCCTAGGAGGTTACATTGCAGTAGTGTCGCCAGGAGGTTACATTGTAGCAGTGTCTCCAGGAGTTGACATTGTAGCAGTGTCTCCAGGTGTTTACATTGTAGTAGTGTCTCCAGGAGGTTACATTGTAGCAGTGTCCCTAGGAGGTTACATTGCAGTAGTGTCGCCAGGTGTTTACATTGTAGCAGTGTCTCCAGGAGTTGACATTGTAGCAGTGTCTCCAGGTGTTTACATTGTAGCAGTGTCTCCAGGAGTTGACATTGTAGTAGTGTCGCCAGGTGTTTACATTGTAGCAGTGTCTCCAGGAGTTGACATTGTAGCAGTGTCTCCAGGTGTTTACATTGTAGCAGTGTCTCCAGGAGTTGACATTGTAGCAGTGTCTCCAGGTGTTAACATTGTAGCAGTGTCTCCAGGAGTTGACATTGTAGTAGTGTCTCCAGGTGTTTACATTGTAGTAGTGTCTCCAGTAGGTTACATTGTAGCAGTGTCCCTAGGTGTTTACATTGTAGCAGTGTCCCTAGGAGGTTACATTGTAATAGTGTCCCTAGGAGGTTACATTGTAGCAGTGTCCCTAGGAGGTTACATTGTAGTAGTGTCCCTAGGAGGTTACATTGTAGTAGTGTCCCTAGGAGGTTACATTGTAGTAGTGTCCCTAGGAGGTTACATTGTAGCAGTGTCCCTAGGAGGTTACATTGTAGTAGTGTCTCCAGGAGGTTACATTGTAGTAGTGTCTCCAGGAGGTTACATTGTAGTAGTGTCTCCAGGAGGTTACATTGTAGCAGTGTCTCCAGGAGGTTACATTGTAGTAGTGTCTCCAGGAGGTTACATTGTAGTAGTGTCTCCAGGAGGTTACATTGTAGCAGTGTCTCCAGGAGTTGACATTTTAGCAGTGTCTCCAGGAGGTTACATTGTAGTAGTGTCTCCAGGAGGTTACATTGTAGCAGTGTCTCCAGGAGGTTACATTGTAGTAGTGTCTCCAGGAGGTTACATTGTAGTAGTGTCCCTAGGAGGTTACATTGTAGCAGTGTCCCTAGGAGGTTACATTGCAGTAGTGTCTCCAGGAGGTTACATTGTAGTAGTGTCTCCAGGAGGTTACATTGTAGTAGTGTCCCTAGGAGGTTACATTGTAGCAGTGTCCCTAGGAGGTTACATTGTAGTAGTGTCTCCAGCTGACTACATTGTAGCAGGGTCTCAAGATGTGTCAGTATAACCAGATAATTACATTGTTGCAGTTTCTCTAAATGATTAAATTGTGTTATTATCTCCAGATGATTACATTGCATCACTATCTCAAGATGATTACATTGTAGCAGTTTCCCTATATCATTACATTGTGTCATTATCTCCAGATGATTACATTGCATCACTATCTCGGCAAGATGATTACATTGTAGCAGTTTCCCTATATGATTACATTGTGTCATTATCTCCAGATGATTACGTTGTATCAATTTCTCCAGATGATTACATTGTATCAGTTTTTTCTAAATGATTACATTGTATCAATGTGTTTAGATGATTACATTGTATCAGTGTCTCTAGATAATTACATTGTATCAATGTGTTTAGATGGTTACATTGTATCTGTGTCTCTAAATGATTACATTCTACCAGACTCTCCAGATGATTACATTGTATTAGTGTCTCTAGATAATTACATGCTGTCAGTTTCTCTAAATGATTACATTCTTTCAGTGTGTCTTCAGTTGATAACATACACCCCGCGAGTTCAGGGTCTGACTACAATGTCAGTGTCTGTGTAGGTTATAACATCGACAATCAGTTTCTCGCATGGAACCGCGTTACGTTGATGGTTACTGTTCTTTTAGAAATATTTACGAAAGACGCTGAACAATCCGAACCTATTTCGAGTACAAGCAAATAGTTTGGTTATGTCTCACAGTGACTCCAATTCCGTCTATTTTGTCTAGTTGTATTCTCGGTCCCAGCAACGACGGACAGTGGCTAGTAACCATGGTAACTGCTGACTGGTAGAAGTATAGTGTAGGCATCACCACTCGAAACGATGGTGTAGTGTGCATATGACCTTTTACCTTATGACTGGTGGACGGCGCTGTATCTGTTCACATGTACACTGAAGTAAACAGGTGAGGTGGAATGGGGTTCTAGATTATTGAACTTATATTGCGACAAGCATGCGCGTGTATATGTATATATCGCTGTGTGCTGAGCAAATCTAGACTTACCAAACCAAACCCGCCTTGAGTTGGACTCCTGTTTTAATTTATTTTCCAGGGTCTGAGAGACTAGATCCAGTCATACTATTTGAGTCCTCCTATTATCGACTCTTCGTCACCCACGTGGTACTTGATTCTGTCCGGGAAATGCACTTGCGTCAGCAGTTGGGAAATATATATTGCCCAACCCAACAATGGTTTTTGCCAAGATTAGTTAGGAATATTAATACGAATATTAAATATCAAATACGTTTTAATCTTTATCTCTTTATTGCTTTATGTTCTTCATTATGTTCATACAGACACTGAAACAATTATAACCGAAGCCCATAAGCAAGTCTATTTTACTTCAGTTTAAAAATGAAGAGATTAGCTGGGATCATTGCTGTTGTATACTACTCACAAAAAGTTAAACACCAATCAAGTCTTTAATGTTACTTTAGTTAGTGTCATCCCATGACAGAATAACTGTTGTAATAAGAATGAATCTGGAGGTCCTTAACTCTTTTGACTAGTATATATTCAATAATAATTGTGTAGACCTAGACAAACAGAAAATCTGAATAGAATTTCAATTCAGAGACTAGATGTTAGTCTGTCTGTTCTCATGCGTCTCTTGACCCGTGAAGATTCAGGATTAAAATAGGTCTTCAGCAACCCATGCTTGCTGTAAAAGGCGACTATGCTTGTCGTAAAAGGCGACTAACGGGATCGGGTGGTCAGGCTCGCTGACTTGGTTGATGCATGTCATCGATCCCAATTGCGTGGATTGATACTCATGATGTCAATCACTGGATTGTCTGGTCCAGACTTGATTATTTACAGGCCGCCGTCGTATAGCTGGAATATTGCTGAGTGCGGCGTTAAACAACAAACAAACAAACCAAATCATGCGTCTCTTATAGTCTAATATATGGCTATCATTGCTCCAAGGTTGTACTGAAAGAAAAGTCCATGGATGTGTGGTAATTCTATCCTCTTAATAGGCAAGTCTTATATGTGGACAGTACACCAGTCTCTTACAGGGACAATTCTTACAATTGCATAATCTAGAAATTATGATTTAAACTAATAATTATTGCCTTAGAGACTTGTGCAAGTCTTTGGCTATCCCACGAAGGACATTTTGTATCGTCCCGGCCCAATCTGGCGTAGATCACGGCAGTCTAGCCCCAAGGCTGCCTGTTTCAAGCTTCACCAATATAGTTCAGCCAAGGGGTTCCCCGGGGTAACCCGGCCTTGACCTCTTCCGCAGCTGGAAACGGTTACTTCCATTACACAAGCCGTATAAACCACTATCGGTCTCTGCGCACACCCTGTGCGCAGTCAATGATTCTTCACGCCCGCTGGACCGGTACTAGTGATATTTCCGTTGGTCGAGATATAAGATTGACACTTATCAGCATCAAAGGTTCTGCCCGTATTTTGTTTTTATCTTGAAGTCGCAGATAACGCTTTATACCGAGAAGCAGGTTGCGCTGTCATCCTGTCACATGAATCACCTTTAATGTGTTGATAGCATGTCGTGATCGTCTGTCCTGTCTGAACTAATGTTTATCTGTATGACACACATTTACAGCTTGTGGATGTGACAGCCTTCCGGATGGTGCGCATTGTGTACAACACTGAGACACAGCGCCAGGCTAGGCATTTAACAATGTCAAGATAGATAGATGTCCTTTCATTCTCAAGAATGGCAATTGTCGAGTTTAATTCGGCGTACGCTTACCAATCAATTTATTAATTTATTTATTATCAGATTGTATTTTCTAATGAAAATAGTTTTGAATCACAATGTATAAACAATCAAGCACCATGGTGATAATCCATTCTTTGTTCCAGATCCAGTATGGAGGCCAAGTAATCGTCATCACTTGAAGGATTGACGTCTGCAGCATCTGATTGACCTTTGACTCCTTTGTGCCGCCACCTGCTGGGAGAATGTCTTCTCCCGCCAAGGTGCACGATCCCTTGTACAACTTTGAGACTCATTTCCCTGAGCGTCTGTCCCGTCTGCACCTCCACCCCGAGCTGTCCTCCTCCGTCCGGCGTCAGAAGCGCACCAAGCGGTCGGGGGCACGCTACAAGACGCAACCAGTGACCTTTGATGAAATACAGGAAGTCGATGAGGAACCGTCGACTGAGGAGAAGAAGGAGGAGGGACTGAAGGGCAAGTTCCAGGCCTTCTCGAGGTCCATGGATGGACTGTTGCCAAAGTTACCGGCAGGGTCGCCCAAGCAGTCGTCAGGTCGGAGGCATCCTGGTCACCCTCCTGTCATCCAAGAGAAAGATGCTGAGGTTGAGTCACGGCTACAGGAGCCTCCGAGCGAGGTGAAGGCTGTGCCGACGAAGGGGAAAGGAGTGGAGGCACGACTCACAGAAGCAAACCTTACAGAGGAGAAGCTGCAGGCAACGTTGACTCCGCCTGGCACACCGTCATCTCCGGAAGACGGTTCCCCAGTCGTGCCTCTTCCCTCCCCCAACACAGCGCACAGGAGACAGAAGATAACCGCCAAGGCCAAGAAGAGACAAAAAGCCTCTGAAACAGGCGGCGGGAAGGAGACGTAAACTGGTCTTGGCAAAGTGACGTACGAGTGTGCCTGAAGGTGAAGCTCTCCACTATTTGTGTAATATATACCAATATACGATGACATGTACTGGATTAATTATCAAAATTACTTAGACATTGTCCCATGTGGTTACGGTGTCCTCTTCTACCCGAGATAACTTAGCGTTGTACAGTTGTGGAGCGACCGTCAGGATGTGACATTCGTAAATATTGGGCTTATGTGATCGCTTCTGATGAGGTTCCCAATACAGAGCTTGTGTTTTGGACTTGGATTTCTACATAAAATCGCTGTATTTCTTCCGTCTTTGTAATCTGCTGGTCGCCATTAACTGCTGACTGCAATGGAGCCTCGACACTCGTGGATTATATTTATTTTCAAACTCTCTACCCACTGTTTCGCCTTACTTAGTGCCGATGTTCCTATAAGTGTCCTGCAATATGGCGACTGTGGAATGTACGATAGTAGATGTGCCTAGTTGGTGGAGTTATCCGTAAGTCTCGTGCCTTGCCGTCAACCCTGGCGGCCATGTTTACAAGGTAGGCTTTGCCCACAGCACTGATTAAGATGAAATCGAAAATGAGCCATTCCAATGCTACCTTAACAGAGAAAAGAAAGAAATCAGTGCTTTCGTAACTCTAGCTCAAACAGAGATAAATGTCCTTCGTAAGTCCATCTCTTTCAGAGCGAATGAAGCCTTTCGTAAATCTAGCTCATACAGAGATAAATGTCCTTCGTAAGTCCATCTCTTGCAGAGCGAATAGAGCCTTTCGTAACTCTAAGTCTATCAGATGAAAAAGAGAATTTCGACACTGAGGGGAAAATCCTTTCGTAGGTCAAAATGGACATAGGTCTATATTTGTGAATGAACGAATATATACAGCTACGAACGTGAACAGAAGGCTCCTTTCGATTTTATTTTATGATTCTGCGCCGAGTGTCTGTGGGTCTCTGACCGCCCGAACGCCTAATCATGTGTGTGTTAATCCAGAGTTAGCCGAAAACTGTCAAATGTTATCTAACAATTGTTTGGCTGCTATACTATAGCCAACTGAAATTATGAATTAGGGTGAATTTATTGTTTTCTGTAGGTTCTACAGCTGACGTATGCTGCATTGTAAAGAATGTTCTGTTAGATGTTGCGCATTTGCCATCAAATGAGATTAATACCTTGTTACTCGTATTTGTAAACAATACTGGGCAAATTAATGTTTTGTCCAAATAAACTATTATTTCAATACAAATCATGAGTTGTTTTGGTATAAGCAACGTTGACAGACACAATTAATAATAGGGTTTATTGGGGCTTTGTTATAAAGAAGATATATATGGAGAGAAGATATTTTCGTGAAAATATCTCCTTTTCACCCGTCAGGAGAGGAGAGAAACATGATATTTCACGAGACAGATGGAATATCCTATTTATTATATACTTTTTGTCCAGTTGTCTATCGGAAATTTTATTATTTCAGTACAAATGTAAATCCTTAAAACGTATATTCTCCCTACCTAACACACAGGGACGGATCACCACCCCTTGTATTAGCAACTTAAAAAGTAGTTTCGCGTTTGCAAAACCTTAAAAAAATATAAACAAAAGTAACAAAAATGTTCAGGGCACGAAAATTCTGTATCATACATATAGATATGATTATATACAAAATCAACTTTAACAAGAAAATATACTTGAAAACTACAAAATCTCTGTTGGAAGCGAAAGAATACCCGCTGGTCAAGTAACAAAATTGGCGCTTTGCGAAACGAACAGTTTCGCTTGACGAGTTAAGTGAGAAATTTACAGTGTATAACGAAACATTTTCAAGAGAATAACAAACAGCCTAAATCGATATTTACTCCAAAAATGTCCATCTGTCATTATTTTGCCTTGTCAATGTGGTACTAACGTGAAAAGGAAGTCAACAGTTTGTGTAGGGCTAGACACTTAAGACATAGGGAGACAATTTGAGGTGAGGTCACTCGTATGAGGTGAGGTGAGGTGAAATGGGGTTTAACGTCGCGTCCAAGATTATTGCACTTATATAGCGACGTGCATGCACATGTGTGTGTGTGTGGCTGTTTATACTAGTCCGGACGGATGCCGATTTAAAGTGCTAGCACACTGAGATACCATGCCGCAGTTTAACATGAATACCCCACTCAGACACAGTATACTGACTCCGAGCCGACCAGTCCTTGTTTTAGCCCCTTAATGCTGAGCGCCAGACAGGGTAACAACAAGTACCGTCTTTTAACGTCTTTTGGCATGACGCGGTCAGGGATCGAACCCCGGACCTTCCGCTCTCCAGGCGGACGTTCTACCACTAGACCACGGAGGCGGTCACTCGTATGATAATTAAAGTGTTATGTTCACAGCAGTGAATCAAGTGTCATGTTCACTGCAGTGAAATATGAATTGTTATGTTCACTGCAATAAAAAAAATTCTCTTTTCTCAACTGCGGAAAAAGTTCATACATAAGTAAATAATAAAATGAAATCTTATAATACAACATTGGTTACATGACAGGTGCTCTTGCCCCTGCGATGCTGTGGTTAGGTGGCCCAGTCTAAGGTGCGATTATACGTTCCTTAGTTTCTAGAATCCAACGCTTTTTCCAATTCCATATCTGCCCCACATAGAATATATGGTTTGTCTGCATTATGCCTTTGCTCGCGTGTTTCAAGTTTACGACCCGCGTTTAACAAAAATATTGTTAACACCCTCACTCACTCAATTACCCAATCTTCCAAGAAGGCAATACTTGTAAAAGTCAGGACTTTTTTTTGCCTGTGTGTCAACGTACACCGCCGGCGTGGCTCGTTGATAATAATATCAACGGTTTACAGGCGCCATTTTATAGACATTTTAGCAGGAATAATATATGCGGCCTTAAACAACATTCACTCACCCACTCACTCTGCCAGACTGTTGCCTGAAGTTGCCTGAACTGCTATCCCAGCTGAGATGATAGAGTCGCTGGCTCATCTTAACTCCGCTACTTTACCTATCCAGATTCATTAGCCGGGGAATTACTCTTTCAGACTTAGGACCATGTGAAAGTGATGTTAACCATTTTCTTTACCTGCAGCTGTCGATTTGCCTTTACTCGAATGAAAGGCGTCGGTAGATCTTTTTACCTTAAAATTCACAGGTATATTTACGAGCAGTGTCTCAAGTCCTTATCCTCACACGAAACAAGCGTGTTGGTACAGCGGTAAACCTATTCAGGAACAGTGAGTGAGTTGGGTTTAACGCCGCTTTTAACAGTATTACAGTTATATCGCTGCGTGTCAGCTTAATGTGGGAGGAAAGCTCGAAGTGTTCAGGCCTCAGACGTCTACCATTTCGGTGAAACCCACGAGCACGGGTATGGTGCTGACAAACCTAGAAACAAAATCGGGGCGAACAGGGATTCGAACCTACAATTATAGATTTCTGGCGTGCCTAAGGGACGCAACTCTGCACAGCGAATCGCGGCGCCTTAGACGAACAGAATTCCCATGTGGACTCCGAGTTAGAATTGATCCCAAGAAATCAGGGTTGGTCCAGTCTGTCATGCAGACCCTGAAACAAACATATCCAAAACAGCCTTTGCAAGTCTATCATAGTTGACAAGTCTAGATTACTGCAGATTGAGAGAGTCTCTGGGCTCCTTTTTTTACATTGTATGAAGATGATTTAACAACGTTTTTGTCATGTAAAATATCTTCATTTCAAAGACTAGATGTTAGTCTTATGTTGATAGCTAGAGGCGCCAAAATAGATCAGGTGGTCAGAGTCGTTGACTTGCTTGATAGCGTGTCACCTTATCCCGACTGCTTGGAGCGATGCTCATAATATCAATCACTGGATTGTCTGGTCCAAACTCGATTAACAGGCCGCCTTCATATAGTTTGAATAGTGCTGCGTGCGGTGTAAAACAACATACAAACAAACAATTCAGAGAACACTTAGTCAGACATTATCTGTTTGATTCTCCCTTAATTAACATGGCTCCAAGGCTGACCTGAAATACAAGTATGTAGGTACGCGGTCGGGTAGCCTAAAGGTTGAAGCGTTCGCTTGTCACGCCGAAGACCCGGGTTCGATTCCCGACATGGGTACAATGTGTGAAGCCCATTTCTGGAGTCCCCCTCCGTGATATTGCTTGAATATTGCTAAAAACGGCGTAAAACCATACTCACCCACTCACTCACTTGTTCTGATCATGTACATAACCTAGAAATTATTATTTAAAATAATAAATATTGTATTAGAGACTTGTGCAAGTCTATCCCTTACTTTCTGTTGGCAGATAACCTTGAGGTACGTATTTTGCGGTATCGATATTAATCTGTACTCTGAGTATCTGATAAAACAGCCAGTGAATCAAGTCCTGTTTAATGATGTCAGCGATCCTAATGCAGCTAGATTATAGCATGCCAGGGCAGGTCACCTCAATCCCTGAACAAGCTGGTGACGTCATGTGGTGTTTGTTCGTCGTAAACACTAGCGTGTGGCTACAAGTACACTCTCCCAATGGGTAAGAAATCCCTAACCTTTAAGCTACGTCAACAAACGAGTATCAAATAAATTAAAGAAAGTATCTATTTTAATAAAAATGTTCACATCAGCGTTTCAATTACCTACATGACAAAGACACAAATAATGTTCATTTCCCAATACAGCCTTCCTTAGATATAATGCCACCTTTCGTCCAACGGAAAATATGGCATTATAACAAGGGTGGCATTATATCGGAGATGAAAACCAGACCTAGCTGACATAATATATGGAAGATTAAATATGAACCAAGACACATCCATTCAATTCAAACTATTTCAATTGAGAATTGAGAAATATCAGTTTATTTAAGCCTTTATAAAAGGATATTATCATTAGCATCAAACTAATTTGGTTTTAAAGTTTATTTTTTAAAATGGCATTAAAACCAGGGAATTGGATCTTTTGTCTGGAATAAGTTCGCATTGTCATTATGCTGCACTGCGGGAATCCGTTCTCAGTAAAACGTGGCATTATAACCAGGGTGGCATTATAACGAGTCAAGACTATATATTTCGGCTTTGAATCGGCAATAATAAGTGAGTGGATTTGGTTTGAGTATGGTAGTTATATCACTGCGTTCCAGACTGAATTAGCAGGAAACCCGTAGTGATGCAGGTATTAACATTCAACAATAATACAAACTACACTGACGGGCAGAAGAAAGTATACCCCCATGTTTGATGGTGGCTAAAAACGAAACATAAAGAAATGGTTGTCCGATGGTGTTGTATTTGTGTTTGTGTTTTGGACCTAAGTTTTCGGCCTAGTCACGTTATGGTAAGTGTGTAAAGTTTGGTCAAATCCAGTTTTTAGGTGTATACTTCTTTTGCCCGACAGTTTACAATAATAATAACTTATCATCACAAAATGTGAGACAGGGACACCCGCAAGGAGAAAATATACAAGTCCTCTCACGTATCAAAAAAACAATTTTATTTCATTTTCAAAATAAAATCGTCCTAAATATCCTCACTTGGTAGGGGGAAAAGGGTAGAACAGATACTAGTAATCAAGTTGTGGCCTTAGCTATATTTGCAATATATGTAAGGAAGTTAAAAAAACCCGCTAAAACAAATGAATGAATGAATGAATGAGGGAAGGAGGGAAGGAATCTTTTTTTGTAATTATTATTATAATACGCACAATTAGAAGTGAATAAACCGCATTTCCGGCCACCAAAGAACTCGGTATGCTGGGAAGAGAGGGAAAAAAATATACCGATAGAAAATAGTGCATGTATTCCTAACGGGTGGTGGGGTAGTCTAGTGGTTAGTCTACGAAGACCCGTGTTCGATACCCCACATGGGTACAATGTGTGAATCCCATTTCTAGCGTCCCCCGCAGTGATATTGCAAGAATAATGCTAAAAGCAGCGTAAACCCATATTCACTCACTCACAGTATTCCCAGAAATGCAACAAATCATGAATTAGCAAAGTATGCGATATTCCCTTTTACAGCTTAGTCACTTAGTAATCTATTTCTGACGGGCCTTGATCCCCTCATGTAAGTCACGTTCACGGATGTACAACGTCTTCCTGATGTTTGTTTTTAGAAAAAAGGATATTCTATAAACACCACTGCGCTCTCATTCCGTTGAATCACGTATTTAGAGACTTCTAACAGTGACATGCTTTCTTAAAAATAGAAACACTTTTGACATTTTCACAAAGAAGAGAACTTGAAAGGGCAGTATGTTAT